CAGGAAGTTCTGGGCAGCAATTGACTCTGTTTCATAGAGTTATAGACATAAAAACGGCCAGACAATGATAAGCCTTTCAGTCTTCAGAAGAGTTCTTTGAAATAGCTAATAATAGCGTCGAAAGGATTTTAATTCCTGTCATGGAACTACAGAGAAAGTCAGAAGATTTGGTGAATTCAGCCAGGCTGCTGAATGCCGCAGGCCAGCATTTGCCTCAGGAATGCTACCTCAAATTAATAGTCTTGTTTTTCAAGTACGGGTAGTTTAGATACTCAATACTACATCTTGGCTGGCAAGAGTTGTTCTCTGCTTATGGCAGAACATTTGTTTTGGAAACAGAAAAGTGTGATATTAATCGAAGCGGTTGCCTGTCTCCATATATAGTCATATATCATTTTTTTCCACTTAGTAATATATTCACCTGTCTCATTAGTGAAGTTCATTAAGGGCATAGGAAAAGAAGACTCCCAAAGGGAATGAAACACAATTTAGCAAAATGGAATTTCCTCTCTTAATTGTTTTAATGACTGAAAAAAAAAAAGAGTAAAATAAATTTCTAGATCAAGTGAGGCTAATGTAAACGACAGGAAACAACTGTAGAAACACAGCTTGAGCTCTGTGATACTATACGCACTAGCAGCTCAATTCAGTCAAACGTGCATCTTTTAGGAAGAACTTAACTGCTGCGCAGATGCAGCCCAGTGGAAGTCTCATCTGAGAAAAGTTAGCTGCCATAAAAACGTGTGTGTTCCCTGGTCCTGGGGATTTTGAAGTGTTTCTTCCTCTGAGGCTACACAAAGCAGCCTCTCTAAACTCAACTGTTAGATGTTAAATAGTCTCCTGCTTTCTCTCCTCTCCTGACTTCTGCAGAAAGCAAGTTCATGTGCATCTGAGCACAATTGTCACGAATAACCCCGAATGGAAACGTCAGCATGAGAACACATCTTCTCCAAACGCACTGCCTCGGCCAGGCCGGGAGATGAGTTATGCTCTTCTTCAAAGAACAAAAGTGAAAGACCCATGTTTCTCTGATTAAGGAAGTTCTACTTACCAACAAATCGTTTCTTTCCAGCCAGATCGAATTCTTCTTCAGGAAAGGAACTGATGGTGCTTTCTGGTGTGATGACGGCAGGTATGGCAGCGGCAGTGGTGGTCTTGATGGTGGCCGGTGGCCTCGAGGTCTCAGATTCATAATCTGAAATGATACGAAGGTCTTGAATTGGGCACTTCCGGGAAAGGGGCACTATTTGCAGTCAAAAGATACCTTCTTAAGATTCTACTCATGACTAAAGCATGCACGTGCACACACACACACATTATGTCTAAATATAATTTGTTTCTAATAAAACAGTATTCCCCCGCCCATGTCAGTCCTCTCAGAAAAGCAGATGCAGATAAAAGAGAGGAAAGGAAAAAAGAAACACATAAGACCAGGAAAATGAAATTTTAGAACCAAAGCTGGAGAGAGCTTTAGAGTTTATCCAGTTTAGCACACTCCTCTTACTGGTCCAAGGCCATTCTCTACCTACCCTTTTAGAGCCATAAAAGACCTACATCAGAAAATAAACTTGATTTCCCCCCGCTACCCATTTATCATCTGTGTCTGAGCTTTTCGTTTTCTGGGGAAGAGGTAGGATTACTTCTAGTAAGAGAACTAATCCTTTAACATGTAAAAAAGAAACTGGTCTACAGCCAGGTCACCCTGAACAAGCCTGATCCCGTCTGACCTCAGAAGCTAAGCAGGGTCGGGCCTGGTCAGTACTTGGATGGGAGACCACCTAGGAAGACCGGGTGCTGTAGGCGTAAAAAATAAAAAATAAGGGATTGTAAGCTGACAAGGTCCTTGCAATCTGTGAGGTCAACCAAGGGTTGCCTAGCCTAAAAAATAAAAAATAAATAAATAAAAATAAATAAAAAATTAAAAAAATACTAGAACTCTGCTTCCTTCTCAGCTGCTCAGATAATAAGAAAGGCGCTTAGTATTTTCAAAGGCGCTAAGAAACTTCCTTGTTTTCTGACACCTGCTGTTTTTCTTTCACGTCTGTTTCTGTTTGAAAGCCGTGGCATTAAACTGCTACGTCAAACGTTATTATCGTTGCATCAAAGGTGGTATTACTCCTACACTTGTGATTTAAGACCATTGGAGCTACAGATAACAGCAAGCAAGGTGAGGCACGAAGGTGAGGACATCCTGAGTGTCAAAGCCTGGCACTGGGGTGGGGACAAGATGCTTCATGAAGTGCTTCACCTTATAAAACACAAAGAAGACTCACGGGGTCATAAGTATAACGCTATTAGTTACCATTTATTGAGCGACTGTCCCAGATGCTACCCAAGGCATTTTGTATTCTTAATCTCATAAGCTTACCCTTCATGAAAAGATTCTATGATTAAAAAAAAAAAAAAAACACATCTGTAGCATCGCATTTTTTATATAATTAGGAAAGGAGAGAAAGGGAAGAATGTAATGAGAAGAGCCAACAGAGGAAGCTAAGACGTTGGTTAAACTTAGTTTTACAAAGAGCGGGGGATGGGGAGGTCCAGACCTGGCAGCTCCAGAATTTATGGAGGAAGGAGGGGCCGGGAGAAAGATGCGGAGCACAGGGCACTTGTTTGGAAGCTTCATTTGCAGCCAAGCCCACTGTTTTTCTTTGGATCCAATACATATTAGGGGGAGCTTGGAAACATAAGGTACGACCACCCTCCCTAAGCGTGGCCGCCAAGCCCAGAATTCTGGGAAACTACAGCTGGAAACTACAGCTGAGATCACCCACTTAGTAACGGAAATAAGATCCTCCAAGCAGAAAAGAAACTGTCCAGGTAACGGGCTTAAAATCCACCAGTACCTTCATCGTAGACAACGTACGGCTCTTCCGTGGGTGTCGTCACGTCGGTCTCCGATCCTGAGAAATCATCTAGTGAAGGAGAAGTGGGGAAAAGGTCATCGGATGCCCCGGGCTTTCTTCCCAGCTGTCTCAGTATCGTGCCCGGGGCACAAGGATTCATGCCCTACAGTTGTTCCGTGGGAATAAGTCGCCAGTGCCAGGGCCTCCTGAGCTTTCTCGGAAGAGTGAGGTGGGACCCGGACTGTCCCTCCTCGGAGTTGAGGAGAGGGCGCTCGAGACGCCCTCCAGGAATCAAAGGAAAGACCCCTCCCCAGGATTCCCGACCCTCCCGCACAGCGAGCTCTAACCACCCGCCTGCCCCCTCAGTGCCCCTCGGCTCGCCACCCAGGCAGCTCTCGGCATGCTGAGAGATGGTCGGTCCCTGGCCCATCCTGTCACACGCTTGAGAACAGGCATTCTCAGGAAGCAGCGAGGAGAGGGGGGCAACGGGTTCTCAGGATGGGGACAAAACCCCTCCACCTGTGGGCTCCTTGGCTCAAAGCGCCTTCATTCTCCCCACGCCCTCGATCGTGCCCCTGGCGTGTTCTAGAAGCAGGGCGATTTCCCGCCTCTCCTACGTCTTAACATGGCAAAACTCATCGACGGGCATGCCCTGTGCTCTACGAGGCCCTCTAGCCTCTCACCCTCCCGACCCAGGAGATAAATCCGTGCTACTGAGACGTCTTAACTTGCACATGAAGTTTGGAATTAATATTCCGATGATTACGAATTTCGCTGTACTGACAGGCTGGGCTTTACTTACAAAATCACTGGATCTATCGTGACTGCAGAATTACCCTTTAAATGAAATGTACAGAATTTCATGTGTTTTTTTTTATGTCTTCCAGGAAGCCCTACTTATAAGAGCCATTATTAAAAATGACTATGTTAATGACCACAGTGATAGTATGAGCATGGATAACAATATGGTTTAGTAAGGTGAGTGATTTAAGCAAAAACACATTATCTGGGGACTTGGAGCAGAAGTCTTTTTGAGAAGATGCAGGGAAATCAATGTATTATTTCTCTCCTTGGGAGATGTAGATGCAGTCTTAAAAAGCAGAACGTCTCTCTGTAGTTGATAAAATCTTGAGGCAAAAGATTTTCTAACTCAAAAGAACTCAGAGGCATTCATTCCCCTTTTGACCTGAAGCCTACAGCAGGTGTACAGAACCCTAAACTGAGGGCATCCTTAAAAGGCAGTGGGGTAGGGTGCAGACAGGATGAGCTACTATTTATCGGATGCCTGCTGGGCGTTGGGCACTTTCATGCCTATGTGGTTTGAGTTAACCCTCAATAAAACCCTTACGATACATGGGCTCATTATACCCACTTAGCAGCCAAGGACACCAAGGATTTACGTTATTCCTGGAGTCACACAGCCAGTGAAGGACAGAGCGACAATTGAATTTGAACTTCAAGCCCAAAGGCTCCAAAGACCATATATTTTATACTTCATAAAACCGCCTCCACTTTCTAAAAGTTAAACTAACCAAGCAAATTGCTCATGAACCTTAACATGCACTATTAAAATTATCGTTCCTCAGCCTAATAAAAGGGAAATGAAATAGGAAGTAGATAAACCCCTTCACTAAAAAATTATATGCACCAATTTGAAGTCTTTATTGTTAGAAAATTATTGATCATTTCCCAGAAATATTCCAATGTAATCATTCCCCTGGCCTATTTTGAGCCTACTTGGGATAACATCACGAAGGTAACGGTGCCGAAACAGACTGCCCCTGCGGTGGACGTTGGCAAACTCACTTTGCCTGCCCAGCCCTTCCGAGGACTGGACTGTAAAGCCCCACAGCCACCGGAGGTCTGTGGTACCCAGCGCCCACTTCGCCACTGCAGAGTGACACCGGTTGTGTTTTACTGGGGCCAGCAGAGAAGTGATAAGTTATCTACCCTTCAGCGGTCAGGACGGTCATTTCACAAAAAACTATTAGACATAATTTTCCCTTTGGTTATTCCGATGATGTCAGTATGCCTGGATCCAAGAGGGATGACTTCTGGGCTGGTTCCCATCAGACAGCTTTCAAGTTCACGGCACCTAAAGTTTGGGGTTATCTTGCCATTGTCTCCTGGAATCCCATTTTCGTTCCCCTGTCAATGTAACTCTTAACGTAGTCTCATTTTTCCTCATTTCTGATTCAGATCCATTTCTTTTCATTGTTACTTTTGGCCAGATTAAAAATGAATATATGGTACAATTTTTGCATCTTAGAATGAAAAAAAAATAAAAAGTAGAAGGTTTCCTTCATCGACCCCTAGGGTTAAGTGAGACTCCTTGAGATGCTGAAACACTCTGGTGTGGCAGCAGGTCGCCAATGACACCTTTTACCTACAAACTGGGATCAGTTCTTGAGACGAGTGATGGTCACGTCTTCTGGCAAAGTAAACATCATACTGAGCAATTTAGCGCTCTTTCTTTTTTAAGACCAAATCAAGTCAGGTGTATTTTTCTAAAATAGCAGCGTTTTGATTCCAAGTAAAAGCAACTTCCAGATGTAATGAAGTATATTTACAAGCTTTTTAAAAAGCTGACCATCAGAATTTGTCCCACCTGAATACCATCTTGAAGTATTTGGAACTACGAAAAGCTGGGTGTTTTATAAGTCACCCCAGCATCAGGGTCGAAAGCTTCTACTTCTTCATATGCAAGTAGCTGCTGGCCCCCAGCCATGTAATATGGTTTACGCTTGAGTGGTTGATTCAAATGTTCATGAAAACATGAGTACAAAATGTCACCAAAAAATTAGGGCCTTAGCTCCAGAGATATTTAAAAAAAACTATACAAAATAGTCTCAGTAGAAGTTTAGAGAGGAGGTAGGTAAATGATAACCAATCAAAATCCAAAGTTATTTGCAGCTCAAGTGCATTTTTAATTTTTCTCTTTGCATTTTCTGTCTTGAGAGCAAGCTATGACAGGATGGAACCTTCTTCCATAATGACTGATATTTTTCTGAGACGTGTCCCATGGTCACATTACAAATGGTTTAAGAAGTTCAGCTGGCACGTCACGTTTCCAAACACACACGATCTTATCAGATCTGCTACAGAAATGAAACCTGAAAGACAAGGATCGCTGGCTTTTGCTTTTCAGGTAGAAAATGGAGAATTCCTATAACTTAAGGTATTGTTTAGATACCCGAGATGGAGAATTAGGCCCCTAATGGGGAACTCAGAGCAAGGAAAGAGAGAGAGAGAATGAGAGAGAGAGAGGAAGAGAGTAAAAGCAACAATACATCAGAAACAAGTACATAATATGCATCCATGTCCGCAGGAAGGCACACACAAGAAGAGCATCCATGACAAGTGAGGAAGTACGTAAATACTACTTGAATTATTAGAATGACTGAATGACACAAGGCGACTCCTAAAACGTTATTGTAAAAAGCAGTGTTTTAACTCATTTCCCATTTAGAAAAAAAAAAGTGCAATTCACTATCAATGTCAATTTAATTTTGCATAAACACACCTTTTGAGGCGGAAGCAAATTTGACTGGTTTTCAGTGTAAAAATAAAACATAAAAATTGTTCTTGGAGTTATTTCTAAACTTAACTTTTCTCTCATCCTAACGTAACAGAAATGTATATAGACATCAGATTCATCAAATGAATCTTCGGCTAACACCTGCTCAAGAACAATATTAACATCACGCGTAGGAATGCCACGTTTTCTAGGATTTGACATTTTTAGCAATTGAGAATTACTATATTTTGTAAATGGAAATGCCACTCCTAAAACCGGAATGCTATAAACAGAATGATGTCATTTGTTTCCAAAGACTATCGACATACTAGAACTACGTGAAGATAATAATAAAAGCAAGATATTTCGTGGCAAACTTTGGGAGTAATGTTAGGACTACAACCCGCGAGTTCTCTCGGGGTAAACGCTGCAGCCACAAGCGCCACCGGCGTCGGTTCTCGGGGCGAACGGGAAACGGGTTAAAGAGAAAGGGGACATGCTTCAACCAGGGCAGCCAAGACTTTGAGATCTGAAAAAAGATGATTATAAAATTGAAGGTCTAGGAACAAAATGTTAGGACTTCACCAATGGAATGGAAAGACAATGGAATGGAATGACAAGTGATCAACTAGATGGGGGTTGGAGATGGGGTTGTTTCATCCCGTGATCACTAATGCTGGCTCTAAATCATAATTACGCCAGCAGCGAACATTTCAGGCTACTAGGCTGCAAAGTGCCATGACCAATGTCACCTGGTAAATACTAGCTGTGTACACACGGAGCCCCGGCACTTGTGAATGTACATTATGGGTTGAACTGTACTTAATACAGCAAAATAAAAGGTGTGTGAGAGAAAACACAAGCCCGAGAGCAAAGCCAGAGGCGGGGAGGTGTGGCACAGGTGGTTCTGGGGAACACGTGTGACGTGGAGACCTGGGACTGTCCCTTTACCGGCATCAGAGCCTCTTACAGAAAGCACCTCTCTGCTCCGAGTGTCATTACAGCAGTCACAGAACGTGATTTTGCACACTTAGTCCACTACAAAATGTTCATCTAAGAAATGGCAAACTCTATTGTATTTTATAGACAATGCATAGGATTTTCAAGAGTAATTTTGACTCAGATTTTCAAATTACAGGAGACCCTTGAACAACACAGGGGTTAGGGGCACCAACCACCCACACAGTCAAAATACAAGTATAACTTTTGACTCCCCAAAAGCTTAACTACTAATAGCCTACTGCTGACCAGAAGCCTTACCGATAACATATAAAAGTCAATTAACACATATTTTGTATGTTACCTGTATTAGATACTGTATTCTTATAACAAAGTAAGCTAAAGAAAAGGAAATATTGTTAAGAAAATTATAAGGAAAATATATTTACAGGTTTTACTGAAATAAATCTATGCATAAGTGGACCCCTGCAGTTCAAACCCCTGTTCAAGGGTCAAGTGTATTTTTAAAATAATGAATTAGAGTACATTATCTACTGTTTAAAAAAATGACAAATTGTTCTTCCCAAATTTAATGTTTTCCCCAAGAATTTGTGTTGATATGTCTTATTTTGAAAATGCTGCCTAGAGGCAAATGAATATTAACACTCGGATATTAGGGGATCAGAAGAATGGGAATGAGAGA